TACTAATCCAAAAATGAAAAGAAAAACAGGTCACTTTTTAACCTATCAAACTGGGAAAAAAATGTTTTCTAAAAATTAACCTTGTAGGTCACTTCTTTCCTCTATGATTTTTTTTCACATGTAAATCTTTTTGAAACATTTACCATGGACATAAAACTTAACATTACAATCTTTTGAAATTGAGCGTGTTTTGTGGGAAAGAATTCAAGGTGCTGTTAGACCAATATGTAGGATGACTGGAGGTATCTGGCCTCTTTCTAAAATATTGCTTTTAACTTTTCAGCTCATCACGATTTACTGGAAGGTCTTGTGTTTGGCAGCAGAGCCATTGTCACTTCTTGATGTGTGTAAAGAACTAATAAGCACCTGCTTACAGGCTCTTGGCCTAGCAGACAGTTAGAGGGGAGGAGTAGTTATAGAAAGAGTATCTTAGCTGCTGGGCACAATCAATTCTTTATTATTTAGAGTTTGTTGATCACATTTCTGGATTCCTGTGTTCCTCTCTGCCAGGATCAAAGGATGTGAAAGTCAGTTCTTTGGCAACTGCAGCTCTTATGGGGAAATAATTTTCAACATTTAAAGACTACAGGAGATGTGAGTTTTGAAAATCGATGGTGTTCTTGTTTATTGTCTACCAGTCAATCAGTTAATTATCTCTCTACTGGTAATTGTTGGTTATATTCTTGTTTTTTACTCTAGTAATGCATCAGTGTGTTTTACTTGGTTTTCAACTGTAGACATTAATCCAGTCTCTTAATTTTTTAGTGAAAAATTCTGAGGTCTGGGAGTCCGGAGATCTGTGTTTTTTGTTTGTTTGTTTGTTTTTTCCTGCATGCAGGTTTGTGCTACTTTCTGACTGTGACTGTACACTAAACGTTTAACTGTTTTGAATCTCAGTTACCTGATATGTAAAATGAGAGAGTTGGATTAATTAATCTCTATGGTCTTTTGAATTCTGTGAGTCTGACAAACATGAGCCAGGTTAAAATCCTTTTCAAATATATTCTGCCTCTGGGTTCTTCACACTACAGTGGTTAATCTTCCCATTGGAAGTTTTCATTCTAATTCAAAATAGCATTCTCTGTTAATTATTGAGGTGTTTGTATTCTCTTATTGGAGATATAGATTACTTTCATAACTGTAATTGTGATTAGCCTGAAAGATGCTTTTTTTTAGAATAATTAGAATACATAGAGTTAAAGAGCTTGAAAGGCAGTATAGATTAGTGCTTTCTCTTCTTACAGGAATATTCTATTTCCTGATGCTTGAGATGGTCTAAACAAAGAAATTCATTTTATTAGTGGCATGATTTCTTTTGCCCAATACTACTTATCTTATTCCGTTCAAAGAAGCTGCCAAAAGGTGCTTAGACAGAAACATACAGTATGATTTAGCATGTAGTTCAGAGGGACCCTGTTCTCAAATCGTATATGAGAAAGTATCCTGTTCATTTTCTCCTTCTGGGCTATAAGTGAATCCTGTTTGAACAGAGAAGAGAAATGTTAGTCTCTCTTCTCTGTGGGAGGGTAAGCTGCTTGGCATGCACATGTGTTTGGACCTGGGGTGGAAACGAGTGTCAGTCAGTGCTTATTTCAGCCTTCTATGGCCATTGGGAGATGGAGGAAACTTCCTGTGTCTCCTTTAGTTTTTTATAGATGTGAAATTTTAGGTAGTTTTCATACTACAACCAAGATATAATTCAATTAATTTCTGGAATTGCTCTTAATTTTTATAGCTGTTTAATTGAAATATTTCTGAGTACTCCGTGAAAGGTATAGAAGAGATACCCAAATATAAGGACTGTAGGCACCAGGCACACCTAAATCTGGCCCTGTTGGACCCTGGGCAATCGCCCTGCCTCCTTGGCCCTAGAGTCCAAAACATACATCTACCACAAATCCAAGTCCACCTCCAAACAACACTATACTGCTTCCCAAGTAGTGCACGTGCCCAAACAAGACCTGAGAAATCTTAGATACTGTGTCCTGTTTGTCTCCTCTGAACTCTGGAGTGTTCTAAAATTATGTGATATCTCTGAGTTTGAGTCACCTGATTAAAACTAGAAGTACTATTTAATCACTCTGTAATGGAAAATGACTAAAAGAATTTGTTTTAAAAATTAATCCGCTTATTTATTTTGTTAGATTTTGACATGCTTTAGTAGGTCCCAGGTAAAGGACGATGAGAAAGGAGGTTGTTTCCTAAGTCAAAATAATGGGAGACCTGGATTCTAGTCCTGGCTTCATCACTAGTAGTATGATATTAGGCAGGTTAGCTAACCTCCATGTGCCTCGGTTACCTCAGATGCCAAATGACTACTTGCCTTCTAGGCCTAGTTCTTATAAGAATAAGAAATATTTCTTTCTTGAAAATATTAAAGCCATGACAGTTACTTAAAACTACATAGCATTTAGTATGAAATGAGTACTCTGAATAACCATGTGTAAAAATAAATTTAAGAGTCATAATTGGGACATTATTTCTCCAATTAAAAAGTTTTCTGTAACAAGAATTGAACCCAGGGTGGAATTTGTATCAGTTTAATTGCGTTCATAGCAAATGAGTTGGAAATTTAGTTCATTAGCTCCTTGATTTCTGAGGAGTTAAGTGTCAGGATTTAATGTTGGTTGCACATTCTCAGGTGCCATGACGTTTCAGTTGTCAGTCTGATTGAGGCATTCTCTAACAGCCCTTTTCTTCTAGAGGAGGCAGAAATAATAATCCCCACTGGCTTGGTGCATGCCTGCCTGCTTAGATACTGTGTCTCCCCATGGAGTCCCCTCAGGGACCTGGGGAGAGGACGAAGGGAGGCCAGCTGGGTTCCCTGGGCCAAAGACCAGGAGACTTCGCTCTGCTCCATTTCCCACTCATTGTGTAGCCCTGGCCCTATCACTTGAGAGACCTGGCAAGGAAATGAGGAGGAAGTGAATGCCACTGCTGGTTCAGAATGTTCCAGTGTTGTTGGAAAGTTTGAGAAGTAGCCTGGGTAAGGAGAACAAGACCTTACTGACAGGATTTGGTCCTGGTCAGGTCTGTTTCACATCAGCTTTCTAAATAATCACAGCTCTCTCTGTCTCCATGGATTTCCAGCACGTTCACCTCTGCCTTTAAAAAATGAAGAAACAAAAAAACAAACAAAAGAAAAACATTTTGTGCAACCAAAGAAGAACATAAAGCATTTTAACTTTTTATTCCAAGAGAAATTATAAAACATGGAAAGTATAGGTATTGCCTGCTTCAAAATGACACCAAGAAAAAAACTAAACAAAACATATTTTCTAGGGCTTTCCAACCTATTGTAAAATTATTATTCTTATTGTAAATTCTTTTTCTATTAAGCTGCTTTCTCAGTGATTGATTTATAAGACTAGTGACTGTTTTCACATTTCCAATGGTCATGTAGAGCAACCTGGCTTGTCCTGGTCTGAATTATTTAGCCTTCTTAACTGACTTAGTTTGCATATTAGGTATATAAATATTATGCAATTGTGTGTATCATAAGATTGAAAGGAAAAGGAATATGCCAAACCTTTTCTCTTCTCCACATGAGTCTATAAACCAGAATATTTATGTCAGAAAGTTAGAAGAAAATCTTCTGGAGGTTTTTTACGAACCACAAAATATGTCCTTTGTATACCTTGCCTTATCATCCTGCCTGAGTTTATGCATGCCTTCCGCATTACTGCAGTAAATATTCTCTTGGCAGTCCTGTCACTTTCAGGACCCATAGGTGTCTCCAATTTCTGCCTTAAGTCAAGTAATGATAATACTAATGGTTTCTTGATTTTTTTCCCCTCATATATCTGGTAGGAACTTTCGAAGCTGAAAGGGATATTTTAAGCTTTTTTAAATGGAAGAAACTAATGAAAACCTAAATATTCCCAACTACTGTGGAGTACACAAATTGAAGTCTGGATGAGATGGAGGGGACCTACCTAGACTAAAAGCAGAAGAGCAGTTATAGGATTACTTGCAAAATGTTTACACAATTCATTTTCTGAGCAAAGCTGGTGACTTCTTATAGTACCTCTAGAATGATGATTTCTCACCTTTTGTCCTTTTAATAGTTGAATTAGGTGACTCCCTTACTTTCCCTAAAAGTGGCACGTGAAATATTTCAGTTTAAATGGACCCCCCCATTACTCAGCAAATTTTTAAAGAATTATTAAAATCCAGTTGAAAAACCTCTGCTTAGTTAGACAGCTTCATCTTAATGTAGAGATTAACTAACTGCATGATTTAAGAGACATGCAAATTAAGTACTTATTATTTTATAAAAGATAAAAACCCTCCTTTTATTTAAAGTTCATGTACATGTACACACGCATATTCAGTGATAATAATATAAATCTGATCATGACCACCACCCCCTCCACCCTGACTCTTGTCTTGAAACCCTTTCTTTAGTGACTTTCCATAATCTTTGGTTAGAAGCAAACTCCCACCAGTGCCTAGAAGGGCTCCCTGCAAAGGCATTCACCTTCTTCCTCTCTACCTTGGTGGGTTTTTTTTTTTTTTTTTTCAGTAATGTCAGCACTCTGGTATTTTCTGCCTCCTGCTCACACTGGCCTTGCCCTTTCCCCAAGTCTCCATAGCTACCATTTCATCCCTTCCCCAGTGATTCTTTTTTTACAGTCCCCCAGAATGTCAGATTTTTGTTTTATCTTCCTACAGTACCAAGGCCTTCTGCTTTGCCTCCCGTATTTTGCATATTTTACACAGCTAGTAAGTGGCAAAACCTAAACCTAAATCCATCTGATTCTGAAGTGTCATGTTTTCCCTGTTGTCCCATATTAACTTTCTGTATTTCAGTTTCTTTCTCTGTGGATATGACTATGGTAACACTTTACTGTGCTTCTGAGGCGCTCAAGGTTTGTTTGCCATGATCCTTAATTTAAGGTCATATGGTCTCTTAAATGCTTTTCTCAAAACTCTTAGTCTTGGCTGACTTGGTTAGCCACGATGAGTCTGATATTTGTCAAATTTTCTTTTCTTCCCAGGATGGTTCGTACTTGGCTGAGTTCCTGCTAGAGAAAGGCTATGAGGTGAGTGACTCAATGAGCAAGCACAGGCTGGTGGAATCACTTAGACACAGTGGCCTCCTGCTTCCTCTGCTGCCGTCCTCTTGTGTGTGTTTTCCACTGAAACTCTGATAACAAATCAAAATCAGGGGAAGAATGTTCCTCTTGGCTTGTCACCATGCCAGCTCATTGTACTATTTATCTGCTGGTGAGCACTTATGGCTTCCCCCGTTCCTTAGTGTTTAACTGCTTTGCACGCTTCCCACATTCTTAGATAAAACAGCAAGCTATGTAAGCTAAAAGCTTAACATTATTAGGGTTAATTTATGATGTAATTTGTTAATAATAAAGTTTCACTCACAGTGAAGTCACTTAATTCAGAAACAGCATGGAGCAATAAAAACTAAGTTGATCTTTGGCAAACTTGAATGAAAAATTTACACTTATAGATTTTACTTTCTAATCGGCAGCCATATATTTTATGGAAGCTGAAACTTCTGGGTTTGCTGCTGTCATCATTGCCATTGTTGTATTCTTTTTCTTCTTTTCCTTCAACAATTTTCTGCTTTCATTAAAAGAAACAAGGGTATTATATTAAATTTGATATGGCTTACTGTGTACATCTTACCTTTTTAAAGAACTGTTTTTATATATATAAATCGATATATCTATCTCTATATCTGTATCTATATATACATATATATGTAGATATAGATAGATATAGAGATAGATATATATATATCTGTATAAATTCATGATGTACAGAGAACAAAACCTGTACAGTGACCCGTATGCTCCAGTCTGATTTGGGAGTGTTTATGTTAATAATTTTGGATTCTCCGTTTATCCTAATTGGAAGAGCATTGTTTAAAAAATGTGCACTGGGAGCAAATGGGTAAACAGCAAGGGATTTGGCATCTAAACACCAACAGGATTTGAAGAAAAGGAAACTATTTTCCTTATTGTAACTCATAATCTGAGAGCCTTGTCTTTAAGAAGTAATACCAGATATGTTTATCACTTTCCGTACCCTTATCTAATAGCTAGTTCTAGCTCGTGTAATGAAATTAAAATAAGACAATGAATTTTGACTGTATTATACATACACATATGTTCGTATACATAGATTCCTATAATAATTGATAAATACATATTCTACAGAGTAACGAATTTTAGGGTGGATTATATATAGTGCAGAAGAATTGGTTTTGGGTGCAGACTGATTTCTATTCAGGCTCTATTAACATAATGTAATAAATCTAAAAGGAAAGGTTTGGCAGGAGACATAATTACTTTGTTTTCAATATTGGGACTTGGTAAGAGGGCCAAGAGGTCTTTGGTGGCTAGAGAGGAGTTGTGGTTTGACTGTGTATTCAGTAAACCAAGAGAAGTTTGATGGGGTTCAGGATGCACTACTCTGAAATATGGCACTTTGGCATATTGGATATTTTAAGCTGAAAAACTTTGAGAAAATAGCGGAAGTTTCTCTATAAATCTGTCTGTTTAATGTAGAGGGCAAAAAATTTTCCTTAACCCTCTTAGGGTCCCTGGCTGGGTCTGAAAATTAAACTGAAAAGCATGTAAATTTACTTAATATAAGTTTTACATGATAGGGAGCCTTCATGAGGAAACGAAGATCCGAAGAAACAGTTAAACCTAAATATTTTTATGTTAGGTTTGGTGGAGAGTGCACAGTCATGGAGAAATATGATAGGTTGAGGAGTGTGAGGTAAGTGTAGTAAGCAGGGAGGAAATTTAGCAAGGTCTGTTTGTTAGAATTCTTTTTGGTATCCCGTTGTTTTCATAGATAAAGAGGGTCCTTTCTTCTGAGTATAGGAAGGGTACCTTTCACAGGGGGGGTTTTGACTGCCTCTGGGGAGAAGGGCAGGGGGAAGGTCGCAGTGCCCTTCCCGCTTCTGCCATTTTCTCAAACTTCTTCAGCTTAAAATATTCAATATGCCAGGTGCCATATCTGGAGTAGTATGTCCTGAATTCCATCGTAATCATTGCAGTTTTGGAAGAGAGAGATAATATATCAGAAAGAATGCTTGAATTGCATGGATGTTGAGTTCTACTTCCAAGGTGGACATGGGGGACTGAGACTTGAGGGTGGTGGGTACAAGTAGTGTCTGTAGCTAGTCCAGAGAAAAAGGGAGTGGCAGTGTGAGATGCGGTGGTCTCTGTGATAATGTGGTGGACGAGTAATAGGGTCTGGGATTAGTCAGGATATGATAGATGGTAAACATTCTCAGTCATCAGGATGGTGCTCTTAATGTTATTGGGAAAGACTGAGAAGAAGACATGCACAGAGATGCAAAGCTCCACTTATGTGTCTCATTAAGGAACTAGCAGACTTCAGAAGACAGGTAGTAATATTCCTAAATGGATGCAAGACTTAGAAATTAATGCAATAAAAACCTAGGACTCCCAGGTGATCCACAAATATTGGCATTTGAAATTTTAAGAGCAGATTTGATTCTGATAAAGACAGACAATAGAAGTCCCACTTGGCAAGTCATAGTTAATGGGAGGAATGAATCACTGAAACAATGATTGGCAAGAGAAGAGAGGGTTAGGAGTGAGTTCCATAAATTGATAGAAACAAACACTATAGACAATAGAGATGGAAGGTACAGAGCTACAAAGCCTAACCAGAAATGATTCCTCCTCACAGCACAGGAGAAATGTGAATTTTGTAGGAACAGAGGGAGTAAAAGGGTATTTATTCATGCTATACTCAATTTTAATAGGTTGATGTGTTCAGTTTTAAGAGATTAGTATAATTGGAGGATAAACCCTGAAGAGGAATCTCATTGTGGCGCAGGCTTTATCTTTTTGTGCTTCAGTCAAAGTAAATGTGAAAGTGATTTTCCTAAGAGGCTGCATTGGAAAATTTCCAGAATTATCAGCTAGCTGTCTCTGGTTGCTCAAGACCATGAGCAAAATAATAGGATTAGTAAATTACATGCAATAGGATAAGAGGGGGACATACCTGTCCATACCTGAATTGACAGGGTCAACATCAGCAGTTTTGGATAAGCACTCCATAGGTTCTCAACCTTTAGTATGCATCAGAGTCACCCAGAGACCTTTGAGATACAGGTAGCTGACTCAGATCTGGGATCTGCCTTTCTAACAAGCCCCCAGTTGTTGCTGATGCTGATCCCCTGCGTACTGTAGTTTGAGGACCACTGAAACTAAAGGTTCAAATGAGATCACTTAATCATAAGATATCTTAATTTGTGGAGCCTTGCTTCTCAGAGCTCTCATATTATTTTGAATCTTTGTATAAGAGATATCACTAGGCTCAGAAGTAACTGGAAACAATATACTTTGGGGTAGCAAAGTACAAGCCAAGAGCAAATAAACACTGGAAAGAAGATCTACAAATTCTATGAATAGGCTTAATACTGAGACTGAGTTCTTCCTAGAAAAGAAAGGGGCAAACTTTAATTGGTTAGCATGGCAAGAACAGTCTTTCATTATGAAGATGAGGGAAGCAAGGTGAAGAGTAGACAGGGTAGTGATGATGGGACTGCATAGGCAAGAACAAACTCTGTATGAAGAGTTAGCTTAGCATAGTTAGGTGTACTCGTTAGGTATACTCTTTTACTCCTTTCCAATGAAATAAGCAAAGTAAAGGTATAAAAAATGTGGCTAACTTTAAAGCAAAAACATACATCGGTATATGACTCGAAAAGGAATATTGTATGTTAATAGACTGATTTGTCATAGTTAAATACTTTGTATGACCTCACACATTAAATACTGAAGCTTTGGGGCATGGTCATCTGATGTGGACAATGAAATTCACACATCTGATCATGTTTTGAGTGAACTGTTTAATGTGAACAAGTGAAGGAATTCTTTATCCCTGGTCCAGTTCTCATTGAGAAGAGACTATTTAAAGGTTTAAATTTAATGATTTTTAAGGTTGTTTCTTGATTTTTTTTCCTCAAGATTAAACATTAAGGAGAACATAAAAAGAATGGATCTAATACTAGTTCATTATAGAATACAGGTGTCATTTTATGATGGGGAAAACTAAGAATTGTCAGGATTTAGAGGAAATCGCCCTTTAAAGGTTTATATATTTAGTTCTACACATTGTTGGTGTGCAAAGGATAATTCTTTATACCTTCTCAGCCCACTCAGAGCAAGGGAGGTGAATGAGTCAGTTCAGCTCACTGTGGAGAGGAATCCCTTGGGCTCTGGTGCTGGATAGATAGCCTGTGTCCTCTTCCTCCTCTGCCACTTGTGGGCTCTGTGGCCTTGTGTAAGTCATTGGGCCTCTCTAAGATTTAGTTTTTTCACATAAATTGGGATGTCTTGAAGATTAGGTAAGACAATCCATGGAAAACAGTCTAGAGGAGCTCTGTGGGATCTGTGGGGCTTATTGATACAGGAGGGACAGATGACACAGTGCTTGATGCTGACAAGCCAAGGGACGTAGATTTTGTAGAGGGCTGCTTAGTCCAGTTAATTAGCATTAGCAAAAAGCAGGCATGTTACATTGCCTAGGATCCTAGCATATTCCTTGTCATCCTAAGGGAAAAAGGAAACTTGACGGAAGTAAAGCTTCTTGCGAAACTACATTCTAGTTTCAAGTGCCTTTCTTAGCATCATTGTTAGCAGATTGGCCAACAACATACTTTGGTACCCATTTTGCACTAAATACAGAAAGAAGCCAGAAAAATGAAAGGCAAAGTTAAACTGTTTAAAAGCTAAAATTTGTCTGGGAATATATGGAAAATCTATGTTAAAAAACTTGGCAATAACTACAACATAGCATATCAGAATTGTAAATAAAGAATAAGTAAATTGCAGGTTCCCCTTCCAGGAGATGAACTATAACTAGGAAGATCAGGAGAAGAGAAAAGAAATGGAATATAAAGATTGTCCAGTTGTTCTCTCTGATAAATTATTTGTTAGAACATGGAATTTCTATGATTCCATTCTTCCTTGATCTGTGAGAATCTTTGAAATAGTTTTTCTAGGTTGTTGGATATCCCAGAAGCTTTGGCAAAAAAAAAAAGGCAAAGCTTTTTATGGATTTCATTTTGAAACCATACCGAGTGTTGGCACAATGGACCATATTTACCCTTTAACATGACCACTTACTAGCTGTGTGGTCTCAGGCAGCATCCTCATCTGTAGAATGGGAATAGTAATAGAAAGGTTGTGGTGAAGATTAAGTGATTTAATGTTTATAAAGAATAGTGTCTGGCACATTGTCACGGCCATGTAAATGTTAGCTATTGATGTTATCTACATAATCTAGACTTTTCAAAAGGCAAGTGGCATTAAACATCCCTGGAAGGCATCCTTGCCTCACAAGAAAAATACAGACACAAGTATTTGAAATATAGTGATAATACGTTCTATTTTCTTGACATATATACATACATACATACATACATACATACATACATACATACATACATACGTAAATGGAGGGAGGTGGAGGCAGAGAGGGAAGGAGAGAGAAAGGGAGGAAGAAATGAAGAAAGGGAAGGAAAGGAAGGAAAGAAGGAAGGAATGAATGAATGAACGAACGAATGAATGATGGATTTCTTTAAGTATTGCCTAATCAGATTCTAGGTTTTGATGTTAAACCAACTTTGTTCTGACATTCAGAGAATTTGAAATTTTCCTTTTCATCACTTAGTTAAATGAGACATGAAATTTGTCAAAATACTCCCATTTATTTTAAGACTTCAGTTTTTCAGAATTATATATTTTTTTTGAACTGTAATTTAATAATGATTTTGATTAAGTTTATATGGAGTCACATTTAGTTCATTTATTTTTTCACTTTGGTTTTCTAACTCCTCATCTCATTTCCCCTAATAATCCTTATAAAAACAAACAAAATGCCCTACATACATTTCTTTATAAAGAGAAAGCTGCTAATCTCAAATTCTTAACTAGATTATCCAGTTTGCACACATTTTGGCTTGTCTTAAAGTTTGTATTTCACCTGTCTCAGAAGCAGACAGACTTAGCTTTCATTAGTTCTTAGAACAATACTTGCTGTCATGGATTAAGCATTTGGCAGGTCTTTCTTTCCTGTATACATGTATAACAAGTTAGGAATGAGGGAAAATTAGAATACCTTTTTTTCTATTAAAAAAGGCAACCCCAAAACTAGTGCTTAATGCTTTATTGTCACAAATGCGATATTAATGTCCTTTGTTATTTATTTGCTGAATTCTGATATTTATACTGAATTCATCAATATCATTTAATTTTTATCAGAGCCTTATATGTTTATGTACAGTGTGTATGTATCTGGCATTTCTCTTTGTTTTGGGTTGTTGGAATATGGGTCTTACCCAGAATTCAACAATTAAGAGCAAAAATAGACGTAACCACATTTTTATTAAGTTTTTCATTGTCAGTTAAATTATTTGTTTTTAGAACATATAAATTCATCTCTATCCAATGAAATAAAGTTCTGCTTACATCAGAAATTTGTGTTTCAGAAGTAATTTTGGTAGTAAATACCAATTTTGCTATGTAGAAGTATATATATGAACTTTTTTTTATTAAATAACATTTATTAAGTTTGTAGAACAGTTCAACTTTGCAATCAAGTAACAATTTGAAAAATTGGAGACCATTAAGTATAATAAATCCTAATATGTTATTTTCTTCACTTGTAAATTAAGAGATGGATATGTATACCCAAATCTCAACTTAATATTTCCCAGATTTTACTGTTTACTTCCTAAAATTTCAACCAAGGTTGTTATGTTCCTTTCTTAAAATATTTTTATGTTTACCAAATTTTCTTGGGTTTAGTTCTTTTGGAAAATAGAGTAGATGAGTGCTTTTCTCTTTCACTAAAGCAACTAACCAACAGAATTATTAATTGTGGGTGTGTTGTATCTTTTTTGCAGACATCAATTTCTCATGTATGCCATATAAAGTGATGATGACATTTCTTTCTGTTTGAAAGAAAGTCTTATGTGCTTATAATTTCCCCTTGCAATTGGAATATTTGAGTCATACCAAGGATTAATTTTGGTTTGAAATAGACATAAAATGATTGAGTTAAAACACAGAAGTGTATTCAGCTACAAATGAAACTACCCAACATTAGAAAGAACACTTCTAAAATAAGTGAAGGATTAAAACTGCCACCAGTAGAACTGGAACTTGGGCAGCAGGTGACATAAGCTAGTATTAGCATTGGCAACACAAAGGGAGCAATCTTGACACAAGAAGGAAGTGATACCAGTTCTTGAATAATTTCTCTTATGTATGAGACACAAATAGTCTTTTCTTCAGTATTAGAACAGGTATGCTTTCTTTTCCAATGATTTTTTTTTTTTCATTACACTTATGATAGTTAAGTCAAAGATAAAAATAAAAATCCTCTCTTCATTTGAGTTTTCTTCATGTCTTAAATCTAGTAGTTCATAAATCTTGTCCCCAGCTTGTGCTATTTAGCTTTCTTACTTTTCCACACAGCTGCATATTAGCAGCTGTTCTCTGATTTTATTTGTAGACCCAGATACATATAAATAATAGGTGCAGGATACAAAAGTCTGAGGACACTGGAAATATGTGGTGGCATCGAGCCTCTCTGCTTCATGTTTTGTGTTAAAGAGGCTGCAAGGCTGTTTTACTGATATGGCTTCATGTGGTCTGTCTTCAGTTTCAAATTTAGGAGATATTTTTGTCAGCAGTAGGACTGTAAGTGTGCGTGTGTGTTTAGAAAAGGAGACATTTGAGTATCTACGACTAAGCATTTGCTGTGAAGTCACATAATTATCTAATTACTTTTGTTGAGATTGGCAGTAAAAACACTGGTGAAAGATGAAGGTAGACGGTACTGGTGGCTAGAGGGCAGTGGTTGGGGAGAATGTAAGCAGTGGAACTATTTCTCATAATTTAAAAATAATTTTTATCGATGTTATATATTTTTTCACAAAGCTAAACATAAGCAAAAGAACTTCTGAGTTGCTTATTAATTCTCATTACACATTTATAACTTATTCTTATCTTTCACGCTATAAAAATGCAGGTTCATGGAATTGTCCGGCGATCCAGTTCATTCAATACAGGTCGAATTGAACATCTGTATAAGAATCCCCAGGCTCATATTGAAGGAAGTAAGTAATTTTCTTTTTATAAAATCTCTTTCTATAACTTCCTACATTAGAAAGTATTTTCAAATGTCATTTTTCTCAAAGTCCATCAAGTTGCAGTTATTTACCCACTAATTACCTGCATTAAATGCTATCTGAATGTTTTGAAAACCCTTCATTGCTTGTTGCCCCTGGATCACACTGTCATCTTGGTTAGGCTGTTACAAGGATATTGGTCAGGTAATGCTACTCCAGAGACCAAGAGTAGACATGCCATCGATCACCTATCTCCAGGTGTTACTATCCCCTCAAGTGAGATTAGTTCCATATTCACGGAGCACTTCTTTGCTTTTTACATTTAGTCTAATTAAGTTCAGCAATCTTTCTACATTTATTTAATTTTTTAAATAATTTGTGAAGGCAGGTCTAAAAACAAATGGCAGTAAAAACTATATTTAATTGCTTTACAGATTGTTGTCAGTCTGCAGTCGTTTGTTATTTTTGTTAATAAAATTGCCTGCATGTAGCTGTACACTTTACATAGCACAGTCACAGTGTTTTCTCATTTGATCTTTCCAGCAGCTCCCGAGGTTGTGAATGAGACCGTTTTACAGATGAGGAAATGGAGGCAGAGAGAGGTTGTGACTTCATCAAGGCCACACATCATGTCAAAGACAGCTGAGACTAGGATACAGGGATTTTTAACTTCACGTTTAGCTTGCTTTACCCATTCAGTTTTTCCAGCTAGCAGGGATGATCTAGTCATCTTGTAAACCGTGATTTTTTTATTCACTTCGGAGCCTGGAATATTACTTGTACAGGTGGTGGAACTGTCTTCTAGAAAGATGACCCAGTTGTCCCCGGTAAGGGGACAAGATTTACGTTTAGGTTAACCTTAATATTTAGGCTATTCATTATATCTTCCTTGAAAATTGTTATTTTTGTGTAAATTACAGAATGATATTGCCATTAGATCTAGACATAGATCAATATTGTGTAAAAATAACAAAAAGATCAAATTAGCAGATCACCCATATGTATGTGTCAAATTCTTTTACTAATGAATTCAGTGTATGGCTCTGCTTAGATTTAGGGTTAGACTAGGCTAGTTGTCCTTTAATCATTTATGTCACTACTTTGGGCATTTCATGGATAGCTTAAGGATTGATTATGAAGTACTTAAAAATTCGTGGATAAAAGTATCTGAACATAGCTGTCTTCACTTTTATCAATGTGTTAGATTTCTTTAGAGAGTATACACATTATGGTGAGATTTTCTTTGAATCTCACTCTTATGTAACACATCTTATAACCACCTGGGAGCCATAAGCTATAAGCTATGTTAATTGTATAACATCTGTCATAATATTGAGATTTTTAAAAAAGGCCATCTGAGTTTTACAAATCCTGTAGAGACAAAGTCAAGAAATCTGAGTATCTTTCTACTACTTAGGTTTTTAAAGACTGCTTCCCCCTACTAGTCTGGTTTTCAGAGTTTCAGAATATGTATTTCAGTTTTGATATTTTGAAAAATTGGACTTCTGTCTAATGCTATGTTTTTTAATTCTAAAGACATGAAGTTGCACTATGGCGATCTCACCGACAGTACCTGCCTTGTGAAGATTATTAATGAAGTCAAGCCTACAGAGATCTACAACCTTGGAGCCCAGAGCCATGTCAAAGTAAGCCGTTTTCATTATCACTGGGTTCTCTAGCTGTGTTCATAAGTTATTCTATATTTTATTTGCTTCTTAATACAGTAATACAACCACTCATCCCAGTCTTTAAGTTTAATCATTAATATTAGTTTGGATATTACTGAATACTAATAGAAATACTAATGTATTTTTTAAAAGTACATTTTCTGTTATTGAACAATATAGTAAAATATTACTGCTAACATTAAAATAGCAGTATTCTATTTTGGGGTTGCTCTTGTAGTTGTGAGCCGCACTTAGATGTATTTTCTCCCATTTCAAATCACATTGTAAATGAAGTATTTTGTTAAAATATTGGAAAATGTAACTCAATAAAACTTCTATTTTAATATAAATTTTTTGGTAGCGGTTATATTACTGGCTGAAAAAAATAGTACTTTCGAGTCCCAATAATATGTTAAAATTAGTGGAATTAACTTTATTATAAGTAGTAAAAAATCATTGGAAGAAAAACTTCGTAGCCTTTAGTCTTCTCAGTATGATATAGCTAATGTTGATTTCTTTTCCTTTATTCAGATTCTCTGGTAGTCCATCTACCTCTCTTTAGTTTTTTTATTCTGGAACAAATTGCAGTATACCTGAGAAGCCCATCCCCTGGATTCTAGTAGTGCTTAATTCAAGTTTTTGTTGCAATATTCTAGTGCTCAGTTGAGTGAGTGAAATCTGAAGCCTGGGATGATAAGAGATCTATTTAGATACTTATTCAATCAGGATAGTTAGTGGAGCTTTGAGATAAAAGCAAACTAACTCTAAGTTAAAGCAGCTCCCTAAAACAATCTATCAGCATTTTTTGCTGTTTGATGAATGAATTCAGCAATCTTTCAGAAAGTATTTAAGGTGATTTGCTGTTTCTCCATATACTCAACTTTAGGCAGAATGGAAGCTATGTGCCTGTTTTATATCTCTGCTATTTTAAGGGAGAAATTATAAGCTAGATCAAATGAAACCAGGTATAGAACATAGAGAAATATAATAGTAAGCCCAGTTTTGTAATTGATATCAAATGTAAAAATTGAGTGTAAATCCTTATAACTTTTCTGTAAAATGTTAACCTTGAAGGATGGCGCTTAGGCGCTCATACTTGTTCGTGTTATGTATCTCTCTATATATATATATATATGTGTATATATATATATATATACATTTTAGAGAAAAGTTATAAGGATTTACACTCAATTTTGTATATATGTATATACATATATATATATAGAGAGAGAGAGAGAACGCGAACAAGTGTGAGCGCATATATATATGTACGTATGTATATATGTATGTATGTATGTATGCATATAAACTTCTTAATTGTCTGTGGTGTCTCAGAAAAATAAAAGTTTTACCCCTTTCTTAATCTCTGATGATTGTGTTTTGTATCCAAGTTTAAGCTTTGAGCTGTGAAAGGTATCAAGATTAGAGCAGAGCGGGTTTTCTAAATGATTCTAAATGTATTTTCTCATTTTGAAAGGGTATCTTATGCAAACTATCCTTTGAGAGATAATCACCCCTTTTTTCTATAGAGAAGCAGTGACTCTTTATCACTCCAGGAATGAAGACTTTATCTCTAATTGGAGCAACCCGTCCATCTTCCACATTGCAATTTATCTAGCTGTTTCTTGGCCTTCTTGACTAACCATGAAAGTATCTTCCAGATAAAATAGAATGTTTTGGAATGAATGCTTCGTTATTTAATTTCCTTCGGATTAAGAAATTTCCTCTGTGATTGTAGATAGTTTATCACCTCTTGAAGCTATATAAACTGGCATGGTGTGTGATTCATGAAATTTTATGAAAATTTATTTATAGAAGGTCTTCCCCCTGCCATTTTGGTATTAAATGAGTCAGTCTTCTTTTTATAAAAATGTTTTTGTTGTTCAAAAATTCTGAAATATTTTCCTTACTTGAAGTGAACTTAACAGTATCTGGTTATCATTCTAGGGTGATTGTACTATAAGTATAGAAGATGTAGGACATTGAGTTTGATTCCTTCTAAGTTGCTGTGTATGTGAAGTTTATCTGTTTTTATTTTGTTTTACCTGCTTCTCTTAAAGCCTGGTTAATTGGCAGAAAAGAATTTTGGCTTGTAAGATCATTTAGCCCTTTAACAAATATTTGCATGCATGGTAGAGTAGAGGACACAGATGTGTAAAACCCACTTCTGTTGTGGAGGGTCTCAGTGATTTATGGCAAGTGACAGATTCTGGCATTAATATTTTTGAGTCTTTAGAGAAGGATAAGAGAGAACTTCAGTTTGAGGGGATTATGCGTGGTGTCAGGAGGTTTAGGGAGGAAATTTATAGACATAGTTAAGTGAGAACTGGTAGTTAAAATGGAGGTAATAATATAAGGCCAAGAGTTAGAAGTGAGAAAACTTGGATATGTTTGCAACATGATGAGCATTCTAAATTACTTTAGCAAAAAGTTTGAGGAGAATTGTGAGGTAAGGCTAGGTAGGACGTTGGGCTACATTGGGGTATTCTCTACATGTTTTTGAACAGGGAAAAATAGATTCAGAGATGAGTTTTATAGATAAGAGTCTAGAGGTAGGGCTTTAGAAGAGATAGGAAACTGTTGGATGAAGTTGGTGGTATTAGAAGTGGGAATGATGAGGATGAAACAGGATGCCTGGTAGGGTTGACTCCTCTGCTGACAAGATATGAGAATCAAGGGAGAGGGAAAATGGTGCTCCATTGCCCAGGGTTCCAGATAGCTGATGGTACCAATACTAGAAGCAGGCATTCAAGGAGGAACTGTAGGAATTGTGTAGAGGAAATGAGAAGTTTCCTCTTGCATACGTTCCACTGGCAGTACTTGAAGGACATTCAATGGTGAAGCAGGTCATGAAATAGTTTGAAAAATGTGAGGTTTGTGAGAGATTTGGCGGTACGGGGTTATAAATTCAGTTCTAGGAGCTCTTGAGATGCCAAGGTGACAGATGGAAAAAGAGGAGTAGAAGACTGAAGATTAAACCTTGGGGACATGCATGTATTTATAGTGTGGAAGGAGCAAGTGTAGTCACTGATGATGGGAAGTGTAGGAGATGAAGAGGCAGGAGGGTGGAATTGTGTCACAGAAGTAAAAAAAAATAGCTCATTCAAACAGGAGGGGATGTCAGCGGTGCTAGATAATTCAGATACATCTAGGGGAATGAGCACCAGGAAAAGGTCATTGGCCTTGACAGTTAGGTTAGAAATGATTTATGACTTGTTAAAAGAGCAGTTTAGCATTATGATAGAAGAGTTAGCCAGAGTGCAGAGGGTTAGAAGTTAGAGGGTTACGAGGGAAATGTAAATTGAGTGGATTCTTTTCTAGAAATTTCTTGGTGTGAAATTTCTTGGTGTAAGGAAGAAAGAAAATTTGATAAAGCCCACTTCAGCATCAGCTGTAAGTTGTTGGGTCCTTCCCAAGAATTTCTGATCCATTAGGTCTACAGTGGGGTCTGAGAACTTACATTTTTAGGATATATCCAGGTGATGCCGCTCCTAGTCTGAGGACTTCACTTTGAGAAATACTGCTCCAATATTTAAGGTTTCTTGGTTTATCCATATATAACATAAACCTTAAATGCATTCTTCTTAGGACTTCTTCCTTTAATGTATCAGCCTTTGAATCTGATATAGAATAGGCCCATTCTTTGCTGGTTAATGACTACATGTGCTTTTAAAGCCTAATACTATATATACCTACAATCAGGAATGATAAGAATGTAGAGTTTATGGAGAATCCGATATATGTTTATACCAACATTCTTCATATTCAGAAATCTTTCTCTGAGCAGTGTGTAGTCCATGAGAATAAATGCTGCTTAGGTACTCCTCATATTTTAGGGGAATAGTATGAGTAGAAGCTGTCAGAAAGTCCTTTAAAAGCCTATGTTCCATGCCACTATATCTACTGTGATCTAATGTCAGATTGATTCCTAGTCGTTGAAAGAGTGGGTGTGGGACAGGAGCTGGCATGATGGCAGCTGTGATGACAGACTGCCAAGTTGCTTGGCGGGGGTGGGGGTGGGAGGATGGAGGTGGGATGTTGGTGTGTTTCCTACAACTCCCAAGCTCTGTGCCCCGGGTTTCAGTCTGCCTGTTCTCCTTGCAGCTTGTTAGGGGTTAGGATGGAAAATACATATTTTTTTGCTTGTAATTAATTTCTCTTTATCAATCAGCTTTGTAGGATTTATTGTATTCATAGACAATAGTTTTTTAAAAAAATTCTTTCTGACAGTGGAATGCTTGCAATAATATTAATTAAAATACATTTCTTATTATTTGGTTTGGAGCCCTTTTGAAAGAAGGTTCTAATATTAGCACACTTTGAATTTAATTTTGAATCCGTGACTTCTAGACTGGGCATTGTTTGTGTTGGCTACTCTTTGCATAGAGTAGTCTTCTATCACTCTCACTTCCAGTTAATTTGATGTGGGCTATGGTATGCTAAAAGTAAGGAAAATAAAATAATAGGAAGTTGGTCTGGTTTCCTGTAGGAAACCAGTGAAGATGAAATTGGTTCTTGGAATAAACCCACAGCAGTCTGGGAAATACTGACTGAAGACATTTTTTTCTGAATCATAAACAGAAAAATTATGACTCATGAATTGTAGGTCATTGAAAGGCTGATTCGATCTTATGTGGGAGAAAGTGAGAGGTGACTGAAATGTACTAGTTGTTAAAAGTAGTTAAATCTAGCATGATGACATCTTTCAAGTAGGAACAAATTATCCAATGTATAGTGTTGACCATTTTGATGGGGAAATATTTTAGGAGTCTTCTTTATTGTTCTTTTTTTTCCTCTGTAAATAATATTTTTTTAGTAATTTCTGTTTTAAATTTCTTATCTGTTCACCATTCATTACTGACATATATTGGATTTTTCCACTTTTCCTCACAACTTCTTTGATAATCTTATATCACTCTTGAAGTTATAGTGTTGGATGAGATCTTTCTACAGTATATCTCGTTCATTATTTCTCCCTT